TAGTGGACATGATATTCACTCATAGGTTTGTGATATTCGCAACTTGACATGACTGCTTTTATCTCCTTCCAGATGCCACTACGACCACGGATCAAAAGGGTGAATTTGCGTGATCTCATGTTCCTCATGGAGCAAGAAAAGGAGTTATGCAAGTCCACATTACTGTATCGGTCTTACCTCAAGTAGTGTGCCGGGAAGAGCACCGCTGGATGGTCGTCCTTCAGCCCCGCTGCCGCCGCCACCGTTGCCCCGCCCCCATAGTTACCAGCCCATGGATGCGCCTCTCCCTCTGGAGGTGTGGTACCACTGCCAGCGTGGGGCAGGTGGGGGATGGAAGCCAAGTGCAAGGAGCCGTGCCGGAGAGGTGACGGCAAGCTCCAGCAATACTGAGGTGTCAGCATCAGCAAGGCAGAAGATCTGTGATTCTCTCATGCAGCATTGCAAGTGTCTTAATTAATTACATGCCTGTGGCATGGTAGCTCCACAGGGACTGTGATAGGGCTGGAGCCTCCTGTTAGCAATGCTTCGTATTGTAAGGACAAAACACAGACTTAAACCTGCAGGATCTGTATGACTGCAGTGTCAGTGAACAAACTTGCGAGGTGCAGCAGTGAGGTGGAAACATGTTAGGGTCACTGACTTGAATTGGCAAGCATGATGCAAAGCCTCGAGCCCGTAAATGCTCCAGCCCAGTCTAAGTGGACTTGCATATAGTGGCTTATACACCAGTGAAGGTACAACCAAACCTTTCTTTTATTCCCAAAATATATAGTAACAACCCTATTTTGTGCATGAACTGTATAAATACTTCTTGGATAGGAAAATCTTCAAATATTTTTATCTGATACACATTATCGTTAAAATGTTAACTGGAAAAAGAAAAAAAAAAAAGCTGAAAGGAACTTTCATACACAGCCTCTGTAGATAATGTACAGTTTTTAAAAGATTGAGGCCTTTTTCTGTTACTGTATTGTTCTTGTAAATTACCACAGATATATGGTTTGTCTCTAGTGTACACAGAATAATAAGGTCAAGCACCTTGAGTGACATTCTCTAGAGATATCACAGTCACAGAAATTCAAAATACACACTTGCAGATGTGAACAGTTACCCACATGCAAACAACCATCAGTGATACGGCAGAAGGAATCAGACTGCAAAACACAAGCCTTGTAATTTCCCTTATTATTTTCACTGTGACTCCATAGAGTTTTGCACTCTTGGTGGCTGCCTTAACCCTTATTTATGAATCCCTAAGACAGATGCCAAGTCTGCCCCAAGGAATGGATGAGTGTTGCCAAAGTTCGCTCTGTGTGTGTGATGCAGTGTGCGATGCAGGCTTCATGCAGGGAATTATGTAAACTATGCAGAAATTTAAGCCTCAAACAGAAAAGGATTTTTGTGCAATCAGGAAGAAAAAAAAAGGTAGTTTGAAGTTAAATTGAGTTTTTTTTTTTTTTTTTTTTTTTTTTTTTTTTTTTTTTTTTTTTTTTTTTTTTTTTTTTTTTTTGTAAATGTGTGTGGACTTGGATTATATTAATGAATTGAAAGACCTCTTCAATCCACATGTGTTTCCATGTCAAAAGTGATTGTTCTATCCTCAAACCTGATGCCGACTGGAAGGAATATTGCATTGTCCAAATTATCCAGATTTTGAGAGATCTTAGATTAGAAAAAATATAATTTTTTTTTTTATCCAATTTTTAATTATCTTTGGTATTTATTTATTTATATTTTTTCCTCAGACATTCTTACCAATACAAATACTATAAATAAGAAAGACCTACATGAAGCTTGCCAGTCTTGGGCTCTTGGAAATTATACAAAGTATAAAAATAATCTTTAAAAAAAATGGGCCTATAGTTGCTGGGCTGTAATATTTAGTGAAGGATTTAAACATTCAGTTTTTTTTCTTTTTTTTTTTTAAATTTTCCTTTCTTTCCCTTCTTTTCTATCATTTGCACACAGCAGTTTAATAATGCTTGAAATGAATAAAGTAAGTTAGATCTTGACTTGTTATTGGCATGTAATTTTACAGTGAAAGTTATTTTGGCTTCTGTACCAAAGGAAGTTCGTCCTGTCTTTATGTCCTAACTTGACTTGTAGTTATATTTTTATTATGAGGAACTTTATTATATTTTTTATGGTATTATTAATTTTTTTTTACGGTTTTTATTTTGAATTAGTATGAGTGATGTGTTTACCTATGTGTGTGGTGTCTGGGGTTGGATGTGCCGTCCGGGGATAAGAAGGGCATATGTATCCAGATGACCTTATGTAATTTTTTTTATTATTATTATTAATATTAAAAAAAAAAAAAAATCATATACAGAGTAGTTGTTTTGTGTATATATAGTGAATCTGAAAGTTTTAAATTTATTGATATGTGAACCGATTTGGCATCTGAATTATATTGATGCTGAGTCCAAGAACCCTGTATCACATATGAGGAGTATCAATGAATGTAATTCTGGCCGCAAATAAATTTAGAAGACCGGGATGTGTCATAAGGTAATCCTGTTAACAGAGAGAAGGTGACCACCAGCCACGCAAACCTACTTCTTATAAGTTGACGAGGGAATATCGGTGTAGTGGTTTCTCTTCATGGTTTTTTTGCACTGCGTTTTAAAAAGAAAAAAAGATTTTTTTTTTTTTTTCCTTGTGTTCACAGACTTTTTCTGAACAGTCCTACGTTCTTGGGAGATTTTCTTGTGAGCTGTCTCTGTACTTTTTCTTGGTATCTGTTTGTTTTTTTCATTTATTTTTTTCTTTTCTTTTCTTTTTTTCCCCCCTACTTGTTTTATGCCATTGTAAAAAAAAAAAAAAAAGAAGGGAAGGTGAAAAGAAATTGTCACTTTCTTCCATGGAAGTCTTCTACCAGCTTGTGATTCCTCTTGCAAAATTTGTCTTATTTACTTGTGCATGAGTTTTTCTCTCTCTCTCTCTCTCTCTCTCTCTCTCTCTCTCTCTCTCTCTCTCTCTCTCTCTCTCTCTCTCTCTCTCTCTCTCTCTCTCTCTCTCTCTCCCCCCCCCCCCCCTCTCCCTCTCCTCCCCTCTCCCCCCTCCCTCTCTCTCTCCCTCCCCTCCCTCCCTCCCTCTCCCTCTTCCCCCCTCTCTCCCTCCCTCCCTCACTCCAGTAGTGTGTTGTCACTTACCCATTTCTTGTTCTAATTATTACATTTTTCTCTTGCATTTTATCCTCCTTGGTTCCTCCAATTAATGTTTTAACTTCACTTTTATCCGGCATCCCAGTTTGCAGCCCCGCACCTCCTCCCCCTGTGCTCTGCTCTGTCAATTCAAGGCATTTTGACAAATCACCTTCATTCTTTTTTTTATTTTCACTGCAAGGTCAGTCCTCCCTCCACTCTTTGCATTGGAAATTCCCCCCCCCCTCTCTCTCTCTCTCTCTCTCTCTCTCTCTCTCTCTCTCTCTCTCTCTCTCTCTCTCTCTCTCTCTCTCTCTCTCTCTCTCTCTCTCTCTCTCTCTCTCTCTCTCTCCCCCCCTCTCTCCCCCTCTCTCCCCCTCTCCCATCTCCGCATCTCCCTTTCCCACTCTCGCACTCATCGGCTTTCAATTCCTTCGGAAAGAGGGAGTAGACGTTGTGTCAGTCACATGTGTTACCGTTTACATGCATTATGAACACTTGTGTGTAAGAGGGTATCTTTGTGCTGTGTATTGTGTCCCTAAAGGAAAGTTAGTATCATAAAACTAGTCATTATTGGCAAGCACCAATTCTTGTCTTTTTTCATTACTATCATTATTATTGCTGTTATTATTGTTATTATTATTTATTTTTTATTTTATTCTTTATTATTATTATTATTATTATTATTATAATTCATTATTATTGTTAATGTGTTTGTTTTTATGATCATCATCATCGTCATCATCCTCACTGTCATCACATTGTCATCATCATCATGTTTTCCTTTACTGGTATTGATTAATTTTTGGTTATTTTTCTATTGATTTCCCCCCCCCCCCCCCTATAAGGATCATCAAGAAAAATTGCTTAATATATGAAAATTGTAACTCGTTTGTCAGTAATTATTACAAATATTATCAAAAGTATTATACCTCTATAAGCTATGACTGTTATTCATATGAATGTTTTTTTTTCAGTAGTATTGGTTATTATTATTATTAATCATTTATCATTATTATTATTATTATTATTATTATTATTATTATTGTTCCTGTTATTACAATGATTATAATAATAGTAATTATCATCATCATCATCATCAACATCATTACCCATATTATTAATATCATTATCATCGTGATTAGTTATTTTTATTAATTTCTTATTAAAAAAAACTATTACTCATAACTCCATTACTATTATGATCACTGTGTGTATCATTTATCCGTTAGCCATTACTGTAATTATTTTTTTTATCGTCCATTCCTTTTCATTATTACTTATTATTATTATTATCAGCATAATCATGATTAATCTTTTTGTATGACTGGAGGTAGATATGAGAAATTTAATTGCATTAGTTGTGTTTTTTGGGTCTCATAGCTGTGTCAGATGTGTTTGTTCTTACAGATTGTGTTTATATTAGCACTTCTGAGCACAGTTGGTTTGGTTTGTCATAAGGGGTAAATATTTTTGCTATATATATTTTGGTTTGATATATATATATATGAATATATATGGTAGGAGTTACAAAAATGATTTTATTTATTGTTCATTACTTTTAGGGTTATCAATCACAATATGAAGAGTTGGGTTGATGAGTAATTTTACAAAACCAAGACGTACAACAGACAGAGAACATCACCAACTGTGCCAGACAGGTCACAAGAAGACACCTTGCCAGAAAAAGAAACAAAAATCTCATGGAAGGACTGTTGACTTTGTTCCCAAAAGTCAATATCTTCCTTATATTGCTTCCATTTATACATATATATATATGCATATATATATATATATATATATTATTTTTAATTTTGTAGTTCATCAAGTGGGAACAAATGACTTGTGGTTTGA